GGGTAAGAAATCGATTAACATTCGACCATACTAATCTCAACCCTCTCACAGTCTGTATATAAGTTTTCGTGAGTCACTTTTCGAACTGTTGTAGTTGTTTGACTCGTTTTATTGCTGCGAATTCGGTATTTTTCATTGGTTAAGTATGTGTTCATCTGAGAAAACCTTGGTCACTTTTCTCGCTTCTAGAGATTAGAATGGTTTATAAGAAACTATATCTCACTATAGGGAAGGGAAGGGAAAGGGTGGATGAGTGAAACGACCGTTGGTTGCGTAGCGAACTTTTCGTTCATTGTAGGTAACCTAATCCACTTTAAATGTAAGTTAGATGCTAGGTTAGCTCACTCTGGTGCATTATCATCCTTCAACATCCCACTACAACTTGCAAACAAAATTCTGAGAAAAACCAGTCGTCTTTCGGACCTAGTCTTGGTTGTATGTTCATCTTCCACAGTGTTTTGAAACACGCCCGCTACTGAACTACCCACTCTAACAATATTTTTGACAATGATGATATTTTACTCCACGAATCATATTAATTCTTGACAGTCTCTCACTGAAAGGAGTGCTATCAAAGCACATTACGCCATTAAAATATATTCAGCTGTCACTCATAATCACTTGGGAATTTACTCGGAGTTCATCCGTGATGGCTCCACCTAGTAGTATTTATGGATATCTTTTTATCCACCTTTCTTGTAAACGTGTTTCTTTGAATAATACTGCTTCTTTTACATTTACAAATTATCCAGCATAGTCATTTTGATACCAACATGGTTAAATTAATTTGCGTAAAGTTGATAATAAAGCAAAATCTTGGAGTTTATATATTCTCGGTAGTCAGTCCTTATAGGCGTGTGTCTGCAGGGATATAGGGAAATAAAATTATTGTCGGATAGTGATTAGATAATAAGATGTTAAAATTGTTAGTCAATTATGAGAATAAGGGCGAACAATAAAATGACAATGATAAGAGTACAAATAGAGATAATATTTACATTTATTTGGGTGACCAGGGAGATTATTGTAATTGTATCTGGATTGAAGCTGAAGATGGTGGGAGGGAAAGGGAACGAACAAACATCTGAGTACATAAATTACGTTTGAAAATTTTAATCGCTAAGGCTTCTGCTATGCTTAGCGATCGGAGGCTCACAAACTTAGAGAGATTTCCTCTTGTTATTATCACGTTTGCTGTTGTCTTCTAATTTATGTACCCGAATTAATCTAACCATGTTGGTATCAAATGACTATGCTAAATAATTTGTAAATGTCAAGTCTGACAAGAATTTATCTAAAGTACATATTCGCTTCAAACTCTGTCTTCTAATACTGCTTTTGTTGCTTCTCATATATCAATCTTTTTAAAGTTGTTTTTTTATCGTTCCGAGATTGTGTGGATAATGCAGTCCTTTTAGATGAAAACACCTAAAAGATATCGGGTTTTCTGAACTTTCTAAACGATGTGAAGATGCTTCGGGTTTCTTTCTAATCTAAATGCACAGTGTCAATTTGTCGCTAGTCATTATTGATAGTACATCTTACCATACAGTAGTGAAGTCGTTGAGCTCGTTGATTACTTCACATACCAGATTAATCTCTTCAGCTTTGGTGGATGGTGAAGTCGCACTGGGAACACAGACAGCGTTTGCTAACATAGTATATCTTCATTTTAAGCGGCTATCTTATTTTCTTTTAAAGGGAGTGTAAGACATGGGTGTTAAAAGTGAAAGGTGAACGGTTGCAGTCGTCTTTATGGGAAACCACTATAAGGAGTAGAAACCATTAAATGAACGGTTTCTAGGCTAGGAACTGATCTATAATTATGTTGTTCATTGTAAACTGTCATCTACATCAGTTTGATTTGGTAACTGAGGTAGGATTAGAATGAAGAAGTTTTAAGATGACTGGGCTAAAGAATTCCTTGATCATTCTTCTGAAATCTTGTTACAATTCACCAGATGGCGGATGTCGGTTATTGGAAACTTTTGGTAATGTGACTCTGAATCCGTCACATTGGCGCACATGCATTCATTTATTCACTCATTAAATCTTATCTCCTTTGAGCCCATTTTCTTCCTCTTTTCTACTTTGATATTCTTGTTACCACCAATATTGTCTTTCCATTTGTTGGTTCCCTTCATCTACGTTGTATATGAAATGTGATTATTTCAACCGCTACACTACTTTATCAAACTCCACTTTATTTTTCTGCATATATCGATTTCCAGACCAATCTAATATGCTATTTCAAGAGATGAAAGCCGTCTTTAGGCAATCATTATCGGTTTCTCGCAAGCACTGACTACATTCAGTTCAGCCGTAAGGTGTGCGATAGCATGGTTGTTGTGTGCTTGGAGCAACATGTGTTTAGACGTAATATTGACCTGTTTTACATGCATATAACTCATGTTCTCCTCGAATACTTTTGCTATCTGAGTTGAATCAGTGATGTTACAGTCATTCTGAAAAAAGTGTTCTGTAGACTAGAAAGCGTATATAAATATGGTGTAATTCGGCAACTACATCACCTCATGCAGTAGGTAGTGAGCCACACCTATTATGCGAAGGCCAATGATGCTGTCTGGTATTCCAGATTTAGGTAAGTGGAAACTGGGTTTGAACCAATAACCCTTTGGTTTAGTGTTGGTTGCCTAGTCCGGTAATCTACAGCACAATCAGTATGCATCCAGCAAAATAACCTGTAATTTGATGCACTTCAGGAAGGGGTGTCCACCTTCCAATATATGTGGTAGTGTATGTGTGTTTTACTTTTTTGTCAATCTGCTTATGTGTGGCTGAAACTAGTGGTAACTGAGCTATTCTCTCCGGGGTTATTTTAGTCATTTAATGGATATTTTTAACGTACACTTCATTTTAATTGTAATTTGAAACATTTTCTTAATGGATAGATTATATATGATGATTAGGAATATTAACTTATTTCAAACATTTGTAGATAGTGTAAAGGTGAAATAGTCACACGATGAATAAGTCACTTTATGATAATGATTTGACTGTATCGTGCCATGAAACGATATTCATACGTGTGAGGTTTCACGTTTTTTGCACTGTCTCTATGATGATATAACCAGTTTCGTTTGAATTAAGAATCAAGTTTCCGTTTTGAACATAAATTTAAATTCTGCACTTAGTTCAAGTATGAAGATTATTAATTCTGTCTCTCTCTCTCTCTCTCTTACCCACGAATTAACGGTTGCCGTGTGACGGCTTCTCTTCCATCCTAGTAGTTAGGCGTACAGTCTTTCTTAATTTGTGCTGTTTAAGAATATTACAATATCGTAATTGTAAGAAGAGCAACTCGGTGATCAATCATTGATAGATCTATTGAGTTTTCTGTTGCACACCAATTATATATAAGCTATAGGTACTATCTGACTCCTAATCAAAGTAGATTGAATGGAATTCGAGTATACCACCCAGCAGCTGACATTTTGTCACTGAAGCTATTCAACTATGGTTCCTTATTTTATTGATAGTGACAGTATACTCATGATATAGGTTTAACCTTGTAGTTAAGAACTGATTTAGTTGGCTGTGTATGGATGGCTAACACTTGTCTGTTACTGGGAAAAGTAAGTTATTTTCTTTAATGTTGCGTGACTGCATAGGCCAAAGCACTACATCTTCCAGCGAATCATAGGTAGCGTTTGTCGAAAAGTGTGACATTTGAAGTATTTAATCTTTTCTTTAATAGCCTGGCCGTACCAGGCTGAGTGAGCAGGTTTCAGAAATGACTTTTATCTCCTCAGAGTAGAAGAAGGAAAATTAAAAATCCAGCTTAAAATTGATTGCAGTAATGCAGATCCACCCGTGCCTTCCCTTGTAAATCTTGGACTTTTTGTTATGCCTCTTCTGGTATTCCAGATGTTTACTTGTCTCCTTTTCATTGTGCACTATCATTTTTGGGATCAGTATCTTCTATCCCGTTTTTCCTTTTTTAGTGCCAATGTAAAGTCACCTACATTCGACCGATATGCATTTCATTTATGTCGTATTGGTTCGCCTTTTTACCTGTTACTAGAGCGGCGATGCTGGTTTTGCAAGTGAAATACCTTGCAATCGCCAACTCTACGATTTCTTTCTCAGACCTTTATCAGAATGACAGACAAGACGCAGATGGATCTATGTAGGAAATGGTTCTAAAGTGCATCATTTCAAGTTCCCACACTTCAGAGCTACCTGAAGAGAAAATGTCGGTAGAAAGAAATGAAGTAAGGTAGACTAAAGTGTATGAGGGGAGAGACAATAAATAGTTGAAGGTTAACAAAACCGTTTGATACTTCGAAGATACCAAAGAATGTCTACACCCGTACCATGGTGACTGGTTTTAAGCCATTTCGGTGAATCTCCAACCGTCGATTCCTATCATCTGTGTGACCCCAAGAATCCGACTTATATGGGTCAGACCGGGAGTCAGAGACTTCATGAACTGGTGCCACGTCTTAATATAGCCTTCATGAGCCTTTTCCAACCTACTCCTACTTTGATTCATATCAGGTATCAAGGTAGGCAGTGGTTTGGCATTGATGACACAACCAAGCAACTTCAGTCGGTGAAGGTTCATAACTTAGTCAACTAACTTGCTTTCCTTTCCTTAGCTTTATCACAATACAAACTACTGACGCTGTGATAGTGTTAGTTTAAAGTTTTATTACTGTACAACTTGCTGTCTTAGCACAGTAACACTCTTTGCAGTTCCACTATGGTCCCAATAAGTCATAGTAGTGGGCTAGGATGGTCATCAAACCACTTTAGTAAATGTTGGTTGACAGGAAAGAATTAGTGATCACCTGTTTTCAGTATCAGGTTGACGAACAGCTTGGGGGTTGTGACGGAAACAACCGATTCTGTGGCCACGTTAAGAAAATCAAAATATAGCTATCATGATCTTCGACAAGTTTAACGGAAAAGGTGTTTTTAATGTGTTTTCTGTATATGCGTTGTTTAATGGGAATGTCTTCTACTTTACATTTTAGAAAATCATAACCTTGACCTATCGCTGAATGACTTCGTTGAGACGCTTTATACTAGGATTTCAAGAATTTCTTACAACTCCTACCCGTTTATGGAGAATGCACTATCATTTAACACACTTCACATCTAATCAAGTACATAATACGAAAATTCATGAACATCAACGTGAACGACAAAAGCGCTTACAAATTCGGATTCCGAGTGCAGACAGATTAACAACTATTGTATCTCAAGCTGACCAACCAGACTCAAACGTTAACAAATCATCTGAATCTAGTACTGATTCATGTGCTTCACGTCCTAATTTACTATTGTCATCATCATTATCATCATCAACATCAACACTAGCGCCTCACAATAAACGTTCTACATCATCAGATTCACAAGGTTTATTAGAACCGTTAGCGAGAATGTGGCTGATAAATGTGGGATTAATTTTGGTAAGAGAAATTATATATTTTTCTGAATACTATTGAAATTTACTGGTAAACAACCTTATTAACATCTCATAATCAATGTTTTGGGGATTTGGCTTATTGGTGTAAGTACGTGAATTTTAGCCATGTCATGATTTCGAATGCTGCTCCACTTATCGTGGCCTGAGTAACTTGATATATTTATTTGGATATGTGGGGCTGTGGCTCATTGGTTTAGGTGGTCAACTTTTGACCAGTGGGTCATGGGTTCGAACACCACTCCACCTACTGAGGTTTGGCAGGCCAGGTAGTCTTATCCTTGGTCTTCATATCACTGATGTAGTTCATCGCTTGCTGCACAAACCCGGAAATAGTTGTTCACTTACATAGTCAATGCATTTAGTTACTGATAATTTATATCATAAATTGATATCCATTAAAGAACTGTTCAAAATAAACAAGCAATAGATTGCTATTACATCTTCACTTACGACTTTTCAGTATTAGACAAGGCAAGCATTTTATTTCTAACCAACTGTAATACGGTTCTAGGATTTTCGTTTTTTATTTCACTCAACTTTTGTGATGTTCAAATTCGCTCTTCATTAATATCGTCAATTTTATTTTGTAGGTTGCTGTGGCTCATTGGTTTAGAGAGGTAACTTTCAATCAATGAGTCACGGGTTCAAGGCCTGCTCCACCTACCGTGGTTTGGGCAGCCAGGTAGTGTCACTAGCCTTCATACAATAGGTCAGGGCCATTACTTACTACACGAATTCGCTTAAGGCTGCTAAGTGCATCTCGATTTTCGATTCGATTTTTATAGGTTGCTACTTTTCATTCAAGTTTAAGAATTCTTCTGTTGAATGGCGTGATTAATGAGAGGTTTTTTGCCTCTTTCCGGTTTTGGTTGAGATAATTTGTTTAAAGTAGGTCCAATAAAACGTTATAACTTTTATGGTCATTTACATTGAAACTACGGACATTAGTACCACCAAAGGAAAGGTATTGTATCAGGGACTGCTTGAGGCTAGAAAGTCCCGAGATTCGGATTTCGATCCATTAATTTGACTGTAATACTTTTCCTCAGTTAATACGACCATCTGATTTTCAATCTTTTATAGGGATATTAAAATGTGTGATACTTGAGATTTTGAATGCAGCAAGGTTAATATTGCTTTGTGATGAAAGCGTTTAGTTAATCGCCCATTCAAAATCAATTTGACTACAATCATTGTTTAGATGAAATTGAATTCCATCACATTCCTCAGTGTAGGTTGAATAAGTTTACTCGAAGGTAGTATGACTCTCACTACTTTAAGGTTGCATACTTTATACGACGACTTTCTACTGAAGTATAGTACTCAGAATTATTAGTTTTGAACAGACTAGTGTATGGAAATGTTCGTTTCTAAAATGTTCAAAACTTGGTCTGCTCTACAACATTGTTAGTTCATTGTTTGGATGTGGTAAACTTACTGACAAAACTATGCTTCTAAGATCCTTATCATCAAACTGAAATGGATTGTGTACAAAGAATCCCTTTCGGTACCTGCATCAAGTTTATGATTATTTTTTCAGATAGGAGAAAATAACTATACTTTGACTACTGACTGCTCATTGTGCTAATAGCATCAATAGCTAACCGCATCCTACAGCATAGCTAAAAATCATAAAATTCTAAAATGCAAGCCACCAAACAGTTAAGAGCTCGTCAAAATTGGCAGTTATAGGTTGCTGAGATTTTAGAAGGGGGAATGTAGGGACCGAATCGCTAAGGTATATTTAAAGGGTCACTCACAGACATCTGTCGTCTCCTATTTAGCTAGGTAGCCTCAGTTACTATATGTGATGTAAACTAGTGATTACTAGTAAATTGGTATCAGTTCTAGTCGGTATCTTACTTTATTTTTTCTCAGTTATTACATGTTTAAGCCGGGAGCTACTAGGTCTAAGAAATACGTTCTAAACCATCGTAATCGATAGATGCGCGTGCTCTTATTCGCTGATTTCTATTCACCATATAAAATCTGTGACCCAGTTAATCTTTGCTACACCTTCGTGGTACCACTGTATGATCCTGATCCTTTGAGAGCTTAGCTTACCAATGTTGGCTGTTCTCTTTATCGTTGAATCTCATTTGTATAGTAAGAGACAGTGTATTACTGGACTTACTGCACGTTTACTGAAGAGAAGTTAGCCATCTTTTTAGAGTTACAGAGTTATGCTCTAATGTGTAGTAATAAGTTTTTCTGGATAGCTGCCGAAATTTTGTGGATAATGTGATCACTTAGCGTAACTTCACAAATGAATAAAGTTGCTTTCACGTTCAAACACTATGCTGTCTGTAATCAAACTGAGTAGGTTCAGACTATTTCTAAAGCATCCCTTTTCACCGTCTTAACATATCTAAAGTATTATCAAGGTTTTATGTAATTTGTTCAGGATAGCTTCACTTTAACAAAACATTCTGAAAAAGTTAACGAATTGGAATAACAACTCATTTTTCAAATGAACAAGGGATTATGTGTAGTAGGCTGCGGTCAACATAATATACTTAGTGGAGCTATGACTCATTGGTGTAGGTGGTCGACTTTCACCCAATGGAGCATGAGTTTGGGCCCCGCTTTTCCTACCGAATTTTGGGCAGCCATGTAGTCTTATTATTACCCGTCACACATTAGATATCGTTCACTGTCTACTGACGTACGTGTAAAATGTTGCTGAGTGGACTTTGATTCGATTCGATACTTAGTTTTTCAATCGGTGTGATCAACGGTCAGTGCAATTAAGTACTATTTTGAGATAAATGTAACCAGTTTATCGTAATTTTACTTCCAATTTATTTGTTTCCTTGTAATATTGTGGCTGCATTGTGTTTTAATTTCACCAGGCATACTTAATAGACTGATCTGAAGCTAGTTAGTCACTTAGCATTTCAAAATGTTGTAATTGGAATTGAAAAAACCCGTATTTTGTTGTAGGATTCGTACCAACTATGTTGAGGTTACTGACCTGATAATATACCAAATTAGGTTTAAAATGAAACGTCTTATTTTATTGTGTTTTGATGTTTCATGTTGAGTCTTCTTGCTCACTTGACTCTCTCTTTTGAGTACCCATTTTTCACTATTGTACTCATCTACCTAGTTATTTACATGATTTTCTCTTAAACGTGTTTTTTTGTTTTTGTTTTCTAATTTCAAGGTTTTAACTGTACTGTCATATTTATTTTCATTGATTCCACTAAGTTCGACTCTCGGTAAGTAATTGCATTTTATTCTTTGAATATTTTATTAAGTCGATTTGTGGTGCTAGTTAAAGTAGGTAAATTAGTTAGCGAGATCCTGACGTTTGATTAAATAAGTTGTCTGGGACATTTGTTGTGCATGCCAAGGCTTACCTCATTCTTTTACACTTACTACTATAGATTTGTAGTAGCAGGAAGATCTTTGGATTGATCACACTAAGTCGTGATACTATATCATGAGTCTATACTTATAAGATTCACTATCAACTTCTATGCCGCCGACAAAGTAGATATCTGGAGACTTATTCGTATTTGCAGTCGCACAGATGTCCCCATTCTTTTTTTTACAGCTTGATGTAAGTATTTTAATGCTCACTACCGTTTCATTTCCTTTGTAAACTTATTTCCTTTCACTTTTTTTATTACTCCGTTACCAGTTTTATTATCTATCACCAATATTTTTTTTTTTCTTGTTTACTTCCTTTATGGATGTAGCTTTTTCAGAGGGCAGTACACTGACTTGATTTGTTTATCACTTATTTTAAGCGTATGCGCTATACAGCACACGTATCGAGAAATGCACAGCTGAAGATAAACCAACAGCCATAAGGTCGATTTACGAGAAGTTCGTTAACACATCAGGTAAAGTAATTCCCTGTAACCACCTCTCAGTTGCTACAACTCTCAAGAACCTAACCGATGAAAAAGTTAGGGATGAATGATGAAATCACGCACTTCCGTCTTGCTTCACTGCTGATTCGAAACGATGGTGAGGTTATTGAACGCCTTGATTCTACCTGAGGTGTTTATGTATTGAACTTTGGGTGGGTTGACGAGCGCCTCATGGAAAATCCTGTCTAACAGACAGTCCCAGAGAATAGTCCTTATGTCAGCTAAACAATGATTTTTGGCCCGTGATACGTGTGAAGATATTTAACCAGCTTATTGGAAGTGAAAATGTGACCAATGCATTCAGTACCCGAATTAAATCTAACTGATTTGTAGCGCCTTAGTTTTTTGCATCTTTTCTAAAGCTAGAGAAATACGATGGTAGTCAATATTTTAAATGCAACCTGTAATATAGTAATACACAAATGATTGCCGAATACATACGTAGGTCCTTTTTCAAAGGTGGAAACCATGATGATCACATTTCAGAGTGATAAGACACCCTGAGTTTGCCACACCTGACTCTTTTAACTTGGGCGATTCATGAATTAAATTCTTGCCCGCATCTTTAAAAATAAGCCCTGGTTATAAATGAAATATATTTGTAAAATCCTAGTGAGGTAGAAAAATAAATTTTTGACGTTTCGCGACTTTATGGAGATTGCTGCTTCAGAGAATAAAATTTGTACATGTTATCGACTATTTAAATAGTAAATGGGGACAAATCAAATCACGTTGCTGATACATGATAATGATCTATCTTTTTTATGTTGGTCAGGATATGTTTAAACCTGTCATTGTTATCCGTTATTAGTCTAGATTTCAAGGCGGTATGGATATGTGCATCTGTGATTGGGTCTGCATTCTCATCGTTGGGGATTATCAAAGTAGCCCCGTACTCTAATAATATATTCTGAGGCTTATGCACAACATTAGTTTGGAATAAGAGTTTTCCATCTCCCCCAAATGAACATTTAATATTCACCACTTTGGTGATATGTTTGAGTGTTCGCTTTTGTCGTTTCACTTTTGTGAAGACACTTCCACCATGTATGGGTAATAAATAAGAATTTACCGGAAGGCGTTCATATGAGAGTATTTTTTGATTTAAGTAGACGTATACCATTCTGACTCTACCAAGACATTTAGATGACACACTGTTGAATAAGGTCATGTACCGCTTTTATTCGCAATGTGAGAAGAAAAAGACTTATTTACAGTTCGCTTGTTTATCGGAAGAAGTGAATATTTCAAAATACTTACATTCCTTCTTTTACTAACCGTCTGAATCGATTATTGTTATTCCTTACACACCAAAAGATCTTATCTGCACATAGCATATAGGCAGAGAGACTAAACTAACGTAGAACCTCTCACACAGGTGCATGAGCTCAAGTTGCCACATTTCACAGCAGCACACAAAGAATAGATGAATAGAAAAAGAGTGATGTCAAAGTAAACAAAGTTGTGCGAGACAATAAACAATTTGAAGATAACAGTTAATGCAATTATCCAAGACGTCATAGAGTGAATACATACATTTTTGCCACCATTGTGACCGGTTTCCAGCCATATCAATACTAGTCCTCAAACACTGATTTCTTTCGTCTCGGAGACCCCAGCCAGGTATTCAACATTTCCCTATACGACTCAGACCAAGAGCCAGAGACTTCATCGACTGGTATCAGCTCTTGGTCTGACAATCCTTAGCCTTCTTCCAACTTTATCCCACTTTCCCTACCCTACCATGGCACGCCAAGGTAGGCGGTAACTTGACATGCGCGGTACATATCCAATCCACTTCAGTTGACTAACGTTAAAGAGCCTCATCAATCAACTTGCCTTTCTTGCTTATTGTCCCTCATCTGACCTCAACATTGTTTACATCGTGATCCCACCACACACAAGCAATGTTACGAAGGTACCTTTGATCAATACACAGTGATTGCTACATTTCTTCTACTTTCAGTGGCCATGTCTCAGCCGTACAACAGGATAGAACGAACTGTAGCATGGTACACTCGTCGTTTGATTGGTAGTCGGATATCTCGCCAATCGGCGCCTCAGATGATGCAAGTTGACAAATACCAAATGGGCCTTTTGTATCCGCGTTGAGATATTGTCAGGAGTCACCCTGTTTGGGCTGATGGAACTTCTCAAGTAGGTGAAAAGGTCGACGCCTTCAACCACATCACTCCCTATCATTTCTTCTGCTGAACGTGTTAAAAAGGCCCTGCATTTTTCCAGCTTCTTCACCTAGCAGGACTATCGTATGCGTAGTCCGAGTCAACCAGATGACCTCCAGGGAGTAGTCAGAGAAGTCAGATGTACCTAAGGTTATTTCCATTATTACGTGTACGATGAAGTTAAACAGGAACGGTGACAGTGAACACCACTGGTTGTCGTCTATTACAGTAACAGCCCTCCATAAGCCGTAACATGGCTGTATGAATTTGGACAGACAGTTTCGATCAGCGATATATACTTACTCCATGTTTTCTTCATGGCTGAACACCGCTACAGCCACCTTACGTTCAATGGAGTCAAGTGCTACCGTCAGGTCGTCAAATACAGCTAGTCTCGGGCGTTGCTAGGTGTGCTTGTGTTCTATAAGCTTTCGGAGGGTGAAAATATGATCGGTGCACCCTCGTCTAGGTTTGAAACCTGCCTGGTTTTCTCGACTTTGCTGTTTTCAAGCTACAGTTAGGCGTCAGATAACTATAAATTCTAGGGTCTTTGACAATACACTAGTCAAACTGATTCCTATTTAGTTGTCACAGGAAGATTTCTTTCCCTTCTTATAGAATGGAACGATCAGTGAGGTAGACCAATCTGACACCACCCCTATAACCTCCGTCACTCTAAGCAACAGTTTCCCACCTACATGCTTGAAAACTTCAGGTAACAAACTGTTAAGTCCTGGTGCTTTGCATTATTTCAGGTTCGGTACAACCTTCTCAACTTCAAGGAGAGTTGGAGGACCGAGGTCTACGTCCCATTCATGTTCGGGCTAGATGCTGGGCAAGTGAAGGGTTGCTGATGGCCAGTTGAACTGTGCTTCAGGGTGTTCTGGCCTTCTGTCCCGTAAGGTTATCAGCATTCTATGCTTTTCGGTAATCGTTTCACTCACCATTGTCTTCTTCCTACCGGTATTCTTAACAAGCCCGAATAGTTGCCGAGTGTTGCTCAACGCTGATGCTTTCTGCATCTCTCTTAATCTTGTTTTCGCTACCCACCACTGCTCGCGATCATTGCGCAGACTCTTAGTCAACTTAGGTTTGAGTTACTTTAGTTCTTCATCGTGATCAGAGTCAGTTAGAACGAGTCTTCTCGTATCAGTCAGTTTGGATGACGTCGCGTAAATCGAATGACGTTTGCTAACCTTCTGGTGTAGGTTACCGATTATATTTGCCGTTGTTTCTAGAGCAGACAGTAGCTCTCCAGGTTTCTTCAGGATGGGCATTACTGTCACATTCAGATAAGTGCTTAGCTAATTCCTCTTTAAATACATACTTCACATTCTCATCTTTTAGTCGAGCTCACACAGGCTTCAGTACCACCTGTTTTCCAAGGCCAGTAAGGGGCAGACGTATACGTGGTCGTAATAACGCATGATCGAAGTCCAGACAGATGCATCAAAAAGAGCAGCAACCCCTCCCCCCCCACCGAACCTCTCCAAACATGGCCTGTGTCAATATGATCTGTTTGTGTCCATCACTGGTTTGATGTTGATGGACGCAATATGTGACAGTCTTTCTGCTTATGCTCGAAGTTAATGGTGACCAGAAACAAGTGGTTACCATAGCAGAATTGCAACAGACGATCACCGTTGTCGGTTCATCGACATGTGTTTCCTTCGAAACCTTGAAGATGTCTTTCCGATCGGCTCAGCTTCCCTACTTGGACGTTAAAGTCACCTGCTGTTATGAGTACATCTGAATTTTTGTTTTTCATATCAAGGTCGAAAACTTATGGAATTCATCCTTTGCATCATTTGAACTGCAGTTGGTGAGTGCGTAGACGGGGATTACGAGTTAGCATCGGCTTGTCTCACTATCCTTTCCAGTTCGCACAGGTCCATTCAGTCGAACAGCACATAGACGGTTGATGAGTGGTATCCAATCGAGAGGAGCACTTTCTGCCCTGTAGCTCGATGCTATGTCTACACCAGCGAGTTCCTGAGAGCTAACCACTGGGTTTCCGAACATTCATAAAGTGAATTTTGAAGATTCACTGCTGTGGTCAGGTGAGGTCAATTTAGTAACCACACTTGGGTTCTATCTGTGTCTCAGACACAGCGTACTTGCATGGCTGAAGCTCCCAGAGTTCTGGCGACAGATGCCCGATTTGGTATAGGTGTTGAACTCTGAAAGCTCCAATTTGGAGCTGATAGCAGGGTTTTTAGAGACTAAGTAGTGTTTCTGTGGCTTAAATGTTTGTCAATGGTTGGGGAAGTTCTAAGAGGTTTAATGTTGGTATCAGGAAGTGAAGGCAGTGTAGGAGACAAAGGTAAGTTATGTTTTTGGTTTCGTGTACTACTGAACACTCGTGAGCAGTTAGCACTTTTCGACTACCCACACCGTGGAAGACTATTTCTTTTAGGGTACCTGAAAAAGAAAACTTGTGTGACATTGGCGATCACGGAATATCTGCTCGAGGCGTGTTACACATATATGGGATGCGTAAATGATTGATCTAATACCAACGCTAGTACATTTCAATAATATTGTTTGTTGTTTCAGCTGCTTACTCTATTGATAACCAAAGTAAGGAAATAAGTAGGTGAGGTATGAAACTAAAGGAATAGTGACAGAAATATTATTATGCGAGTAACATGTACGTTAAGAAACCAATTCGTATATAGAGCTATAAATTAAATGAGTGGAAAGTCACAGGACATCTGAAGGCTAGTTTGGTATAAACGTTGATATGTGCGACTTCTGTTATACGCTATTTGTGTTGGCCTTATTTTTAAATCTTACTTTTCTGACAAATACCTTTCTAATTCCCAATCTTTTTTTTAGCATCACATTTTGAGTCCTCCCGACTGTTTCAGTTCATTCACCGACTATTCTCTTGTAGTGTACATATAGCCTTACTTCTATTTATGGAGTTGGTAAATCTTTTGTACTTAAAGGTGAGTGAGTATCAGTCTCTTTTTTAATTTACCATAAAGTTCAGTGTACTTTCTTATTTAGTTATATGAGGTTGTGTAGTACATCAGTCGAATTTCAATCGTTAATTGCAGCAATTTATTTCAAATCTTTTGTAGATTTCTAAAGTTATAAACATTTTAATAACAAGATAAAACGATTCCGGTGTTTTACCTAGATTTCCTGAGAAGATCCACATTTGTCGGGTCAACGCACATATACTGTTCAGTTACTTTGTACTATTTTCTGATAGTTTTTATATAATTTTGATTGTATCTATAATACCAACAGTTTGACAGTCAACTTTTCTTACCGCATAGCAGAAACAATAGCACTGTAGTAACTGGAAAGTTATTGAATGTTTTATGATCCTGATGAATGGAAAAGGCGCTAAGATATCAGGTGTATTGCAACATCAAAAATATACTCAAAATATAAGGGTTTATATATAATTACAATGGCTCTGGCCATTTCCAGAGCTTTCTGGATTTGAATCTAATTGGTTTTTCGTCTCTTCAACCAATCTGATATTCACATTTTGGTTCACGTGCTTTCTCTCGACACTTCAGAATGAGACGATTTGTTGTAAAAAGCTTCAGGGATTTTCCTAATTTTTCTGTGTACTGTAACAAACATGTAACAATCCTAGCAATTATCGCCTAAGTGTTGTTACATATTTCTAATATCTGTTGGCTAAATGCTGCGAATTCTTGATAGCTCTCTGTTTCCGTTAATTTTGTATTGAATCGCCACTACTCTATGCGTATTACTATCAATTTTCGTAAACCAGGTTATCCCACTAGATTCATAATAGATATTAGAAACGCTCCAACTTATGATTTAACATTACGGAGGACTCTCAGTAAGACTGGGATTACAGTTGCATTTAAACGGACGAAACCACATAGAAACAAGCTTTACAGGTTAAAAATCCTGTGGATCTGGTCGGGCAAAATAGTTTGATTTATCAACTCCCTTGAAATGATTGCGATGTCCAGTACATAGTTCAAAGTAGTTGACTAGGGTCAGTTAGGTTATCTGACCACAAAACCCCACCTAAATCAAACCCGGTAGATCTTCATAAGGTAAGGAATCTAGAGGAAAATTCGGCTATAGCTCTGTATGCGATTGCATATAGTCACACATTAGGTCGGCACACAATGATAGTTCTTAAAAGTGACTAAGTTGGATGGAGGGAGAGGTTGATAACCGAATCTTTGTTTGATGAATCAATATCAAACGCATGGAGTAGGAATGGTTCAGTACCTATTCCAGATATATGATAATTCTGGTTCCTTCATCACAAGGGAAGAGAGAGAGAGAAGTAGGAATGTACAAGCCATGTGGAGTTACCTGATATGAATATGACAACAAATTATGTCCGAAACGTCATTCACTGAATAATGTTTAACTGCGTGACGCACGTAAAAAGCAAGCTAAGGTGGGGAAACAATCTGCCACAGTGAACAGGTTTCATTCCTGTGCTACTATTTTGGGGTTCTAGTACGAACGCATTGAAATCTATGTGTTTATGAGTTAATCGTGAGGCTTTATGGAATCGAGAATCATTAGATTATCCTTTTTTATGCATAGTCCCTTTTTTAGTTTGACTGATATGGACTTATTTTTTTACTCAGGCTTATTTGATTGAGGTTCTAGTAGAATATTTACGGATTCTTAAGTCGGATGGTGGTAGGATGTATTGGGGATGGTCGCTATTTACTTATTATGCAGTTATTGATTGACTGTGATGAAGGTATGACGGTCTCGAAGATGCAAACTGATTAGCAATCAAGATAGACAAATTGGGCACTGACTTTATTTCTACCTCATTATAAATTGAATTGATGTGGAGCTGAAGATACTATGTATAGATCATAATTAACAGTTTAATCAAGCGTAAGAAGCAAGGTCACTAGGTGGCTACTTACTTTTTACCAGTTTAAACTAGACTTTTTTTTAGCCTTCCATGACACCAGTTGAAGATATAATGCAAAAGTTTACAGTTAAAGCCTTTGATACATATCATACTTACTCTACTGCATCTGTACCATGTTCTTGTTATCCTTCAAAGCTGTGGTTCATTAGTCTAGACATTAAACATCCAATTAGTGGTCCGCGCATTCAGACCCAGCCCCACTTATCGAGTTCTGGACAACCATGCAGTATCATTAACCCTCACATAACAGGTGGGATTCATTGCTTACTGCACAAAAGCGTGCATACTTACTGAGTCGCTTTACATGATTTTATTCACTTCATACTATCTACTGGTTTCTTTCAATTCTCTGTGATATTGAACTGTCTTGTGTAAACATAGTTTGGTGCTCATGTTTATATCTGTTTGTGCTAAATAAGTGAGTAGATTGTTCACAGCAAGCTACCAATCATCTAAAAAGAGTGCGATTTATAAAATCGGATCTCAAAGTTGTCATCATTCTATAAATACTATCTCCGATTACGTCATATTTCACATGGTGAATGATTATTGAACTAGGTGCATATTAAATAGTCGATTATTTTTTGCTAGTACGCATTTATCAGACTCCTGTTTTCTGTCTTGAATAAATTTGGAAAAATTTCTGTTTTCACTAAGCGCTTATGGTGGTTCAATGTAAGAATTATATCACTCAACAATGTGTACGCTAACATTTTGACATTTACAAAAAGCATTATTATCAATTTTTTGACTATTTTAATATTCCCACTTAATATTAACCAACCGTAAAAAACGAAGTTTAGCGAATATTTTGCTTTCAAACTGGTATTCATCATGGGCTGACATTAGTCGAAGAAACATTGGGAACCTGGGAGCGCTGGACAGCTGTTTCGTCCTAGTATGGGACTCCTCAAAGTGCGTACCTGTGACCCCACCAGAGCTCCAACCCCAGGACCTTCGGGTTCTGTGTCCAGCGCGTTACCGTTGACCCAGTCGGTCGAAATCCCAATGGTCATGAGGAAAAATACTCAACGATGACATTGGGTGATGGTCGCTCTGTGTTTTGAACTGATCATTATTATATTATTATTTTTCCCTTGGGTTCCTAGTGAAACATAGGGTTTCAGCAGCACGCCTCCAGTGCACTCTGCTCTCTGCAATCTTTTGAATCTGGCACCACGACTGCCCGCAGCCTTTCATTTTTTCCTCGCATGGTCTCCTCCATGTCACCCTCGCCTCGGACGCCCAACTCGTCGTTTCTCATTTGGATTCCACTCGACAGCCTGGGGCATGATGTCCCCAAACTGTCTTCTCAGTGCATGTTCAGTCCAATCCATCTCCACTTTCTTCTGGATATTTGTTGGGCGATAGGTTATTGGTTGGTTCGTTGCCAGCCTGAGTGAGTTCCTTGTCGCTTATTCTTTAGGGCAATCCACCTGATCTGATATTCAGTATCGAGCGATCATAGGCCTCAACTGTTGATATATGTCTGTAGTTTATTGGAAATGCTTTTCGTAACACGCCGCCAAGTCTCTCAACCATCACATAGAATCACTGACTTGACTGAATTAGTGTTGAAAGTCTGGATCTTGTTCACAGTTTATGCTGAGTGCAGTAGACCTCTACACTGGTTTCTGATTAATGAAGGCCTGTCTTGTTGTCTTTCCGACCCTGACTTTGACATTCTCATCTGTATCACCTGTGGTTGAAACGATGCTACCTTACCTGGGTAGGTGAAAGAGACTACTTCCTGTAGATTTCTCCCATTGGTGGTGATTGGTGCTTGTTATTGTTGTTGTTGGTTGGGTGTCTTCATCACCTCTGTCTTCTCTACTTTCGCCTGAAGTTTTGTCTTCCTTCGCTGCTTCACATCTGCCAACTTGTTGGTTTTCGCCTGTTGATCTTGGAGATTGTGTTGCATTAAACGTAGATCATCGGCGAAATCGAAATCTTCGAGAGTCTTTTCATCGGTCAAACAGCGTATGCCCATCTTCTTGCTCCTCACAGTCTGTTGCATGATCGTATTCAGTCCAGTACGGTCGACCACAATCAGAAAGATCATCGGTGATAATGGGCGGCAGCTTTGTCTTACTCCTATCTTCACCTCAAACGCATCGCTGAGCTTTGCATTGTGAATCATTTGGCATGTGGCGTCTTCATATAGCATATAGCTGTTGAATGAGGTTGATAAAGGTTTTTGGTTCTCCGTAGTGTTGAAGCAGTTTCCAAATTACTTATCGGTCGAAGCTGTCGAAGGCCTTTTCAAAACTGATGAAGTTGAGGTAGACAGTTGACTGCCATTCTGTGCTCTGTTCTGTGATGATGCGTAGCGTAACGTTTCAATTTGATCCGCACATGATTTGTTTTTCCTGAAGTCAGCCAGCCAGCCAGCCTGTTATGGTTGTAGTTTTGAATCCAGAGCCTGTTTCAGTGTTTCCAGGTTGATGCGTCTTAATATTTTGCTTGGGGTGGACAGGCTTGGCGCGTGATTCTACGCCAATCCTCGCAAAGACTTGGGTATTCTTTCTTCGGAAGTTTGATAACGTAACCCTTCTTCCAGTTCGCAGGCACCTTTCCTTCCTTCCTCCCAAACCTTCTGCAATAGTGGTGTGGTGTGAACATGTCCGCTGATGTCTCTGCATCTGTCTTTAGTGCTTCTGGCGGAATTCCATCTTGTCCTGCTGCTTTCCCGGATTTCAGCAGCTTTGTGACGTTCAGGGTTTCACTCCTGCTTTTGTCGGGTGTTTGTGTTCACTGATAGTTTTGTGGGTGGGTTGCTGGTGGTATTTCTGGTCGAGTTGTAGATGGTGGTGAAGGTGGATTCATGAATTTTTGAAGTGGTCAGTCCATCGTTTCCTTTGTTTCTCCTCTTTGCTAACTAATCTTCCTTCACCATCATCTTTCATTGATTTCATCTGCGTTAATCTCTTCCCGCCCAGATAGTAACCTGGTTATTTGGTGTAATGTTGTCATGTCTCTCTTTTTCCTATCTGGAGCCTGTTCTCCTTCACTTGCAAGTGTGTCGTAGAAGTGTCTTTGTCTTTCAGCGAACTCTTCTTCACTTCTTTGTCCAGTGTAGTGTTTTATATATTGTACTCAGTTCTTCTTTTGATTGTTCATCCTTTCACTGATTTATTTTCTGCTTCACCATCCTCCTCTCCTCCATCAGCTTCCGTGTGTCTGTCGAGATCCATTCGTTTTTTTGTTTCCTTTTCCTTACTAATATGATTATGCAGGTTTCTTTTCACATCTCTTTCAAAGAGTTCCAGTGTTCTTCCACGCAGGTTCCTTCAGGGATGTTGCTCAGTGTCTCCCATTTTATTTTGGAGTTGGAAATATGGACCATTGAATTCTGGCTCAGTAGCTCAATGTTAACATACTGGTCACGGAACCTGAAGGTCGTAGGTTTTATCCCTGGTGGTGTGGGTTATGGGTACTCACTATTGAGGAGTCGTATACTGGGACGAAACAGCTGTCCACCGCTCCCAGATTCCCATTGTTCCTCCAACTGATGTCAGTCCATGATGAATGCTGACTTTAAATCACTCAAGATCCCTACAAACCCCCAAATAAAATATTTTGCTACTCTTTGTATTCATGTTGATAATTTTGAGGTAATATGCGTGAAACTTATTTGATGTGAAGCTAGATGTACTGTAATAACTCTTCCGTTCATTCTGAAACCCCTCAACAGTACACACCCACAACCATCCTACACAAAATAGTGGTTAGGAATCTAGGTTTTACAGCGACTACATTACCCTTAAATTAATGGATGATTATTTAAGAGGAATCATAAAATTTGTCGAGGTAATATGGATTGTTGTTTGATGAGGTCAGCTGTTAGTGTACAATTAATTTATCTAATGTATATATATGTATCAAGCGGTTATACCGCGTCGCGAATTCACATGGTAGTCGAGCAAAACCCTTGGTAATTGAAGGGAAATAAAAATCTTATCAGCAGTCGGACCTCGTAGCTCAGTTGGTAGAACACCGGACTGACAACCCAGTGGTCTCTGGTTCGGACCCGGCCGCAGTCCAGATTTTCATCTCGCCTTCAATCATCACTCAATATAATGTTTATAAGACATTTCCCAATCGGTGAGTTGTATCTTCGTATTTTTGAAAATCGTTGCGAATTTCTTCTAACGGAAGTTAGCGAGGGGTATTTCCTTGTTTGTCATGCCTATGGATACTTGTTGGTAAAAATATTTGCTCAACTGTAAAGAAATGTTTGCCCAGAGCGCACGTCGTCCAAAGCCTTTGTCAGAAAACTGTCTACTGTGAAAAATCTAAGCATAACATATTGTCAGTTTCATTATCATGGAATCCAATATGGTTGTTTTCTCAATAATAATGATTTACTTTCTACTTGTATATACCATCTCGTATTTAGAAAATATGCGATCGTATAACCTTGTTGTCTATGTGTAAAGAATATCGTTATATTCAACGCACTGGATCCCGTGGTAATATGCTTCTTTCAGGCATTGCAAGTTTTTCTGGTGACAGTTCAAATTTCAGTTCCGCAATCGGTGGCACGATAATGGACCGTTTATATACATTGATTTTCTTTATGACATTTCAATTGCAAGTAAGTGATCTAACTGGAAGTTTCAAAACTATGTTTGATTGAAAGCATTTAGTGAACATTTGCTTCATTGGCTTAAGCATTCGACTTTCAAGCAGTCAGTCATAGGTTGAAATCTCCCTACGCTAACGTCGATCTATATGACTTATGGCAAGTGTAACTCATAGTCTGTTAATCAGTCGAACTGCAAAGTCTTCATGTTATTTATCTAGAGATTCGATTCTACATTCAGGACGGCTTGAACCTTAGTGTTCTTTTACCCCTTTAAAGATTCTTCGTTTACGTTTGGTTTTGATAAATATTGGTTGTATTCTGTAAGTACTTTTTATATGGTGGAAGATGATAGTGTTTCAATGAAATAAATTCACTTTGCTGACAAATGCACTATTGCAATGAAAGACTGAAAAATTGGATTTAGTAACCACGGCTAAATTCATGTACCAGGTTTCAAATCACTTAATATATGGGATTAGACGATAACATTACTAAATATATACAGAATGGAGTATACTTAACTCATATATCTAATATTTATGTACTTAAATTTGGAACTGTAACTTAGTGACTTACAACCAGGTAGTTAGGTCGGTAAGCTAAGGCACTAGAAGATGAAGAGGTTGTGTTACCCCAAAACTACACTTAATTGTGATATTTAGAAGAATCGAAAACAATAATAACTTGAAATGGTATTTGATTATTGCTTATTTTTGAGAAATTCATATGATAATACTGAAAAGATGATTAATTTGAGTGAATGCATACTTTTATGAAAGTCTCATCAGTTTAAACTTTTTAATACAGAATTTCACTGAATAGAATGTTTGTAGTTATTTAATATACATATTATGAATGACTCAGCTAGTGATTTACATTGCATAATAAGGCATTTTAATGTGATATAAATTAAAATAAAAGCTGATGAATAAGTGAGTTGGTAGGTAGGTAGGTGAATAAGTCTAAAATTAAAACAGAAAATAATCATGGTAAGATTAACCAATTATGCAAATGCAGTGTTTTAGTCAATTAATGAGAACTGTATTCGTTTATTCTGCACATCTAAAAACGACGAAAGTTCAAATTACTTACATTATTATATATGAATTATATTCGTAAAATCTTAATGTGGTATAGAAATAAGCTTCTGAAGTTTTGTAACTATTTAAATATTCGATAATTTGTAAAGTTCTTATTCTCTAAAGAAACGATTTGCACGAAGTTGCAAAACGTCAAAGATTTATTTTTCTACCTCATAGGGATATTTTACAAATGTATTTCATTTATAATCCATTTACCCAATGCTCAGCTTTATTCAACTCTATCAGGTCAAATTTTAATCCTGAAGTCTGTTAAATAATTACTTCAAGATCAGGGTGGAGTGTATACTTAAACAAGGTTTTTCTTTACGCTTTATTTTGGCCTCATTATTTTTATTGTAACTTTCAGTTATCGGAGGGTTATGAAAATAAAATCCATATGCTAGTCGATTTGGGATCTAAATTGGCAACTGGGGAAGACATTTTTGATTTCAACTAGGGGCTTATTTCACTCAAATATGTGTAAAGCCTTCCTCAACCACACCAGTGATTATTCCTTTTATGGTTAAATAAAGTTCTCATATTACTTATGAAGTACTTCACTGCACAAAAACAATTAAATTTATTTATGTGTACATATTAATCTGGAAGAACAGTAGGGTGATTTTATCTGTGAAGCAGAGCGATACATTGGCAACTAGAACAATATTTTATAGGCTTCTTTTTGAGCGGTTTCTTAGTGCTTCTGAAACAATATCTATCTCATACTATATTGTAGTAAATAATGACTTTTTCGCCGGATTACTTTTTTTACTTCCACTTTTGGAGATCCGTTTATTACAATCTTCTTGACGAACTTGTCTGAATTATCGTCCTGTGTGGATCCTATTGCAGTTTTTTTTTATGTATGTCACAGTGAAGTAGTATTACTTGCTGATGACGATGATAAGATATATCATCTTGTTATATTCCTAAAGCCCTATTACTAAGACACAAGAACAAGTGAACAATTAGCAGGGATTTACAGAAGTAGGAAATATGAACCATTGGATTGCAACTCAGTGGGTGAATGACAGTGAACTCACCACGAGTCCTGATGGTTCTGCATTTGACCCGTTACGGCATTGTGTATATGCAGTGCTGAGGAGTCAGTCCAAAACTAGAGTGAAGTAGCTGTTCACTGCACCAAGGTTTTCAGTGCTTCTGCAGCTGATGTCAATGTGTAATGAGAACGACATTGGGATTAGTGGGAGGATTAAAACACTTGAATATATGGTTTATGGGCGTGTGTCAATTCTGGTATATGAAGGACGAAGTAATCTAAATTGAAGCCCGTGATATAGTCATTCAAATGATGAATTTTTGCAGTAATTAGTAATTGGAAATAGCTAGTTCTAAGTGATATTATTATTTCCTTATGTAAGGTGGTGGTGAATGCTACTTATAAGGATGTATATCAGTAGAGTGCATGGCAACGTCAGAAAGTACAGGAAGTGATAACGATCACCAGACGAAGATTCTGGAGGGCGATTGACAGAATATAGAGTTCTAATGTTTAGTAAAAAACATTGCACGCTGAGATGGCTCGAACTAGTATGTTTACGAATTTGACTTTACTGTAAGGCTTAATATTTTTGTCAGTAACGATTGCAATTTTCCAATGGACAGTCTCTGACGCTCCATTGAACTTCTCTCGTCTGTGGTAATGTATTGCATAAGTAGAAAGTTTTTTCTACCGGAAAGGTCAGATGTGGAATTAACTAACGAGGTTAAAGGCTTTAAATATGTACTCGCGTGGACGGTGTTTAATAGTAAATTAACTGTGTTGTACACCAGGATACTAAGTGCGTTAAATCAGAGTGTTTCAAGCTAAATCTTATTGCTTTTGCTATGCAAAGACATCACAGGTGAATGTTTTTTGAAAAATAATGCAGTCTTACACACAGTAAGAGTATCGATCTACGTTGTCAACCAAATAAGTTGAAATAACGCTACTTCTTTATGTTTTAGCATCACTTTCAACCTAGTGATAATTGTTGATGAAAACGTACAAAGATAAGCAGGGCATATAAAATAATGTACAAATTAGCACTATTTGGACATTTTAGGAATTCGAATAAGTCCTTATGACTTTGTGGCTGATGAATTCTCGGTACGATTAAATAGGAATCCATTGGCTCTGGCCAACTTACACCACTTATAGGGCTGGTAACGAAACGCACTTAGCAACCCTGTGCACGTCCGTGCGGTAGGCAGTGAGCCACACCTATTGTGCTAGAGCTAGTGATACTACCAGGCTGCCCAAACCTCGGTGGAGCGCGATTCGAACCCGTGACTCTCTGTTTGGTAGTCATCTCCCTGGACCATAGCTTCCAACTAGCGCTGGTGAAGTATCCGTTGGTTTACTGTCGACTGTAACCGTGCACTCTATCTTAATAAACGGGTGTGAATAATGACCATTAAAGGTGGGGAACATAAGATAGCTCCAGATGTTCGGTCATCGTTGTCTTCATAGTTTGTCGCAGGACCCCATATAAGTAGTGCGAAGGTTAAGAGTAGGTTCTTGAGTAAAAGTTAGTTGATGAGTTTGTAGATTTCCATTGACTGAAGAGGCTGGGACATAAGCTACACTGACTCAATCATTGTTTACCCCGACACAACATAGTACTGGTTAAGTATAACCAAGTTACATAAAGTCTAAGAATGGATAAACCAAAATATAAATTCAGTCCATGAAGTGTCTGAATTTTGTTTTTATCTGTGTATGGAGACGTAGACTTCGTTGTTGGAGTCCACTTGGTGACCGAAATTGGTGACTGGAGACTCCTGGTGATATGGCTCAGTATGGATTTTCATTTTGATCGTTATATTTCATTTCCTTTCTTCCTTTTAATCCTTATTACTTCTCTGAATTTTACTGTACTATTCCCATTTGTTTGTTGTACATCTTGTTTCTCTTCTATATTTTGATATAACGAAATGTAGTTTAACAACTTGAACTGTTAGGCAGTAATATCAAGTCCTATATTGAAGATTCGACTTCACTTAGTTATAAAAAGAAAAAATCTGCAAAAACTAAGAGACTGGTATCTCTCATAGCCTAGTACACAAACGTGTTTGTTTACTGAATGACATTGCTATTATTCCCATCAAATACACGAAAAAAATGTATACATTTTTATTTCCAATACCCTAAAACCTTATGAAGCACAACCTAAAGACATTCAATTTATGTAACTATTATCAAGCTTTAGTAATCTTATCCTGAAGAGTAAAAACTGAGCAATTACTTCAACTTCACCTTTGGAAGGGTACGCATACCACTGTTGGTCGTTCATAACTATGGAAGTGGTCGTATTCGTATAATAGCTTGTATGGCATTATATGACCCAAAATTATGAATACAATTCAATATGATGACGTTGACGCTTACTTTTGCTATATCTGAGTCAATATGAGGATTATTTTGTAAGATAAAAGCTTCATAGTAATACTTGAGCTGCAGTGAGTGCAATTTGAGTGCGTAATAAATATGCAAAGAATTGAACCGTGAACTGTTTAATCACTACTTTAGTACCATAGATGGCTAACTTTAAAACTCAGTGTAATATAATTTTCCCTCAGTGGGTATTGACTGGCTATTGGTATATGACAAAGCTATATGAACTCAACTTTTTATTTCATTGTAAAGTTACTGTATTTCGCCTATTCTCCTCCAATTAACAATCTAATCTAACTTTTTATTCTATCCCATGTTTATTTGCTTTCGAAATATGTTTTTCTAGTGGAATTTGTTGGCAACACTATCAGCCAATTATTGGATAGGTAATGTGATTACCGCCTTTTCTGTGGCTTTCTTATATGCCTGCTATTCGTTTGAATACCGTTGGAGACAAGTTGCCGGTAAATTAACAGATAAATATATTTTCTTACATGATATTTATTTTAGTAAATGTGAAGAGATATGTAACACATAAAATGGGAAATATGCTGATGAAAGTAGTTTTAGGTATAATGTTAATATGCTGTCCGCATGATTTATGGGTGTACTTGGTTGGTTTATTTGTAAAATACCTAATTGCTGGTTAATCCTTTTAGCTTTAACCCAGCCAAATCAACAGATAAACAAATCAACATAATGTGTTGCACAGAAGTGCATCAACTCACCTTAGCACACTTCAAAGCTTAATAGAAAGAAAATTAAGAATAGCCACATAAAAATGGACAAACAGACTATGGAATACTGTCTCAGTAGTTTATTCAGGTAAAATACTATTTCGCAAACGAATTCATTTGAAATGATGCTGGGGATTAATTGAAAAATTGAAGCAAATCACTTGCCGATAATAATACCTTGGAATTTTGTCAAGAATCTTAGATGAACTCTGTATTATTCCTAGTAATGGGACTATCTGAGATGAACATAGTCTGGCAAACTTGTATTATTCAAGAAAAGTGATGAATGACGTTGGAATGAAAAATTTGTTCGTTGCAGTATTTGAACCAATGATGTTCGGATTATCTGTATGGCACTCTCTGCCAAATGAGTCGCGAAATCTAGCCACTGATCAGGTTTTAACTTTACATCAATCACCGATGGCTTTACCAGTCAGTTATGCGACTGCTCTATTCCTAACTGTCCATTTTATTGTGATCGCACCAGCAGCCCAGCCGACATGCTGAAAATAAATTAGTGAGAAGTCATGTAAAGATTACTATTGTGTTCGTGATAGAGTTAATTAGTGCACGCAATGTTTTTGTATGTAGTGGTCAGATCTCAGTGAATTAACAGCTGGTGCTTCCACTGTTTAGGTGTGATGTGGATGAGTTCTCTTGAATTAACAGTAATGAACCATACAAACTAATTTGAATGAACGGCTAGCTGAATGTAGACATTCATAGATATGAAAGCGTGTGGGTATAGAGCTGCCGATACTCTTTTTCCCGGTTGCATAAGCTATCTATCGTTCCAAAATGTCCCTGCACCATTGTGGTCAATTTCGGGTCACGTCACAATTTTTTTTCTATTGATTCCAAAAATCCGGAAGACCTCAGTTGGAAACCCTACATCACCTTACACGACTCAGATCGACTGTTGAAGAGTGATGTCATATCTTACTTTGTCCGGCATGAAGTTTCTCTGAACTTTGGCTAACATTTAGCGTCGAAGTTATTGGCGGTTTGGAATATGCAACCCATTCAAGCCACCCCACTTAGCGCAGGCTGATAACTTAATTCACCTTCTTTCACCTAACTTTGCTCTGTAGTTACAGCATGCGCACCTCATGACTTCAGCAACTATATCTCAGCTGTTGCTTAGTGCTGATTCAACTTCCAAAAGCAGTGTTCGGTGCATTTTACCACTTCAACCTCTATGCCTAAACTAGAGGCCAGTACAGACCAACTCTGAAAGATCATCTGACAGTTGACAGGTGCAAAGCGCACGTCAATCGTACTCAAATTTTGGCTGTGTTCAGAAGACTTAATTTTGTCAGCATTTTCGTTTAGCAAGACTATATCGTCTGCTTACTGTAAGTCAACCGGTTTACCTCAAGACAGTGAATCGGTCTATGAGAGGTGCTACGTGGTTCTTTAACCACCAATATATGTATAATAAGGTGAAGCAGGATTGATAAAGGTGGACATCTCTGGCAGATACTACTGGACAGTGCCGTAACAGCCAGACACTGCCACTCGACGTCTTGGTTAGTAGAGTAGGATGTTACCCTCAATTAAAAAATGTGGTTAAGGTTTGGTGTCCATGTGTATGCCTGTGCTCTGAGACCTGATCAATGAACCCTTGTCCAGGCTTGAAATTCACTTTTTTCGAGTTTATTTTATAGTTCCAAATAGGTGTTGAATGACCATGGAATTAGAATCTTAGACATATCTACTAAACTAATTTCCCTGTCTTATACATTTTATATCCTTAATTAGTTTGTAGGAGTGAAGAACAATAAGGTTCACAGAATAAAGTATTTGCACTTTATTTAACAACTTTTTTTCATTTATGGAGGATAATTACATAAATACTTAAGATTTTAGGGATTTCTCTGTAATTGCTACAGAGAAATGTCTCTCCTTTCTTGTAGATGGGAGTGATTGAACAGTTCAGATCCCTCTAACAGGACTACTTCTTATTGACGTACCCTAGTTTACTTATTTAACTTAATAGACCCGGTGGTCGCTGGTTCGAATCCCGCCGTGGCACCATCGGATCCTGCTGTTTCACCTTGTTCTAGGTTTGAAACAGCCCTTGTATCTTGTATTCCTGAAAAGGTTTGGAGAACCTGTATTTATATCCCATTCAGGTAGAAGTTAGATATTAGGCAACCGGAACATGACCGACTGTAGGTTAGTTAAACTGTTTTTCAACCTGTTGTGCCCTAAGTTCCAGCTACCTGTATGAGATGCACTAGGAATCTGTCTTTATTGTCAGTAGTTTCGATCAATACCGTCTTAGTATTATCAGTTTCTCTAATAAACCTTAGTAAACACCTGTTAATACCTAGTACTGATACCTTATCCATCTTTTCACTTCCATTCACAACTGTTCATGGTTAATAGAAAGACTGTTACTCTACGTTTAATCTGTTTCTGCTCCTCATTGTGTTTGGATCCACCTACCATGAGTCTTCTCATCTTACGCAGTCTAGATGAGGCTGCAGGAGTCCACGGACTAGTACTAACTGTTAGTTTTATTTTTGCTGGTTGTTTTACCTCTTTCTGTAGCAAACTGAATTTTACAGTAGACGTTATCTAGATGGGAATTGCCGCCATGTTCAGACAAATGTCTAACTACTTTCTACATACGTAAACAATAGGTGTTCTTCTCATGTATCTTGGCATCTGGAGGCTTTATAGCTTATTGTTTCCTACCCTCATATAAATGCAGACACGTGACCGAACTCACGAGTTTTTGAACTCCAAAGCAGGATAAAGTAAACTGATAGATATCATTGAAGCGTCAATATTCTGTTCTTTACATCGTGTTGAATCAGCTGTCTGCTGAGAAGTGTAATTCTTCGGTTCGCTATAGAGGATATCCTCACAAGTAGTAATTTCGAAAAATGATTTGCGAGAATTCCCACTTCAGTTTCATTCTTGAATTCCAGATCCATGTAAAGGATTTTCCTCAGTATACTATGCAGATGTTATCTCCTCGTAGTAGAGCCAATAGGTTTAAGTAAATATTCGCTTTCTTACAGGATAGCACACAGAAATTTTGACTTGATTTGTATTGCGTCTTCATAATCCTTGTGCATCATGAAGTTTTGAGGTTTTACTTCTAAATGAATGAGTGGTGGTTTCGGAATTTGGTTAGATTTCCGATCGAGGTTGATTTTTTGTACATTGAATTCAGGAGATATATTTAATTCAGTAGCCACTTTAAAGGCCCTTTACATTGTGTAACTAATTTGCCATTGTTGTTTTTGGTGGCTTTGTATAGGTACCACATTTGAAGGTTTTCTAGCACAAATTGTCGATAATTGGACATATTTCCTTGGTTATGGTTTACCTTTGGGATGCACCTCTGTTGTCTTCCCACATTTTATTGGTTGGGGTGGTGTTATTCTTGCGATTGGCTATCCAGTCCTAGTAATTGGTGCACTTGGCAGTCGATGGCGTCCGTTCGATGTCAGTGTTAATGTTAAGGATGAGTGGAAGATATTACGTATTTTACGCTTTTGCCTCATTATCTCTCTTCGACCAGCTCTATGGGTGTCAAATCTAGTTGTACAAACTGGTGCTTGGATTGTTTACCAGTTTTGGTTTCGACAAAGTTATCCAGCTGCTGGTGTCGGTAGCGACAATCAGTTTTAAATATTTCTTTCTTTTTCTGTAACTTCATATTTTTACTGTCTGTTTCGACATCGTAATGAGTCATGTCTATCTCCATTTTTGAACTCATGTAAATTTGATTATGTTTTCGATTCATTTTAGCGCGAAACAGACGTATTGAGAACAGTTGTTTTTATATTTCCTCATGCTGCTCTGTTATATAGTCTCTGCTTTGTTTAGATTAGTTATTATTCACAATCAGTGTTTTATTGATAAAGTCTTTGACTGTCATCATCGTCTTCAGTGTGAATTGCGTAGTCTGAGCAAATATAGATTGGGTTACATTTATTCGTAAACATATCTGGTTTGTATTTTAAAATTCGCTCTCTTCACTTGCCTATTATTTTGTTGCCTTCATATGCGAATCCTTCATCCTCGGTGCCAAACATATTGCTTTCCTGTCACTATATATGTATATCAGTTGTGTTTATTAAGTTTTTGTTTATTTCATTTGTTTTTGTTTTTCGAACAGATTTTCATTTTCGCTGATTTATTATATTTTGAAATCCCTATGATAGGTATATATATCTCCTTTCATTCTCGTGAAAATTTCTGATGTTCCACTGTATTATTTATTTATTAGTAATCGTGTATATTTGCTCGCCTTGTGCATGTTGTTTTCAGTGATGAAATTGGAGTTGGTGTGTGTGTTTGTGTCTTATGAATAAAATGATGTAACATATGAATAATATTGAGATAATTCTGTATATGCATTCACTTCCTCTTGACTTCTCATATATCAGTTAAGTATACCCATGTGTCTTAATAGTTAGTCTATGTAGAATAGTTGTGGTTTAACTACCATCTTGCTTTTCGTATAGGGGTCAGTGTGAAGGTTCAAGTTGCGAGAAAACCTAGACTGAAATGGAAGCTAGAAAAGGTGTTTAAGCAGTGTAAATATTTCTTAAACAATTTTGACATCATTTGACGCATATTCTACTTGTTCGTCTGATGTTCTACTTAATTAGACAATTTAGACCACTTGTCAATAATCCGGATTTCCTCACCAAACTAAGCAAGATGTTGTACATAAAGATGTTCACTCTCGATAGATGGATAGATAGAGTTGTTGCATAAGGTATTGAATCATTTAACGCAATGACACTAAAGTGAACAGAAATTAATTTACAATAGTTTATAATCGTTGAATTTTTAACTGAGGTTAGTCACAGTGCTGTTTTTCTTATGGGGAGAATACTATAATTTGGAGATAAACTGGATAAAGGTAACTATAGGATAATTGGCGTCTGAAGAACTTCTTTAGTAAATATGGAAGACGATATGGAAATATGAGTAATGTTACCACAATCACGAAAACTTTCTTTTTCACTCAGTTGGCTTTTAAGGCAAGTGATACCTTTGAGCAAAAGGTTCACATTCGTTCCTTCTGGAACTTTTCCAGCTGCTAAAAATCGGCTCCTGGATACAGTTCTAGTGGGACCTCTTAGAAAGTTGATGAGAGTTACCCTCATCCAGGTTTATTTATTCGGTAGTTACTTTAACTGAGAAGAATATTTTGTTTCCTTGCAATAGTGCTAAGAAATCCCATACTTAATAATAATTAATTCAAATTGCAAACCTATGTCCTGTGTTGCTTGACGGCGAAACTGGTAAGCTGCGGTCAACAATAGGTGAAAATATGGCAACTTCAGTATGCCTTCCGATCACCTCCTTGCATTGAACACTCAAGCAACAGCAAATAACTAACCAGAAAAAACGGAAATTTTGTTAAGATGTACTATAAAGAAAACATATTTGTAAAGCCCAACAGGTATAAAGGCAAATTTCGCTACCTCGTGGAAGCTGTTTTTTCAGAAAGTAAACCCTATACAAGTTATCGCGTGTTTAAATAGTAAGTGGAAACAAATCAGGTAGTGTTATTCATGCATGATAATAATATGGAAATAAATGTTATGGTTATGAATTATTTATTATTATGCACACACATTCTCATCCTCACCTTGAGCTTGCGGACTAATAACGATAACGTTTATTGTTATATTATTATCATGCTTGAAGAACGTGATCTGATTTGTCTTCATTTGCTATTTAAACATGCGATAACCTGTGCAAGTTTTATTCCTTGAAGGTGGGGCTTCCATGAGGTCTCGAAACATCAGAAATTTATTTTTCCACCTCATTTGTATTTCACAAATATATTTCCTTTATAGTCCATTTACCCAGCGTTACGAGTCGCCACCTAGACACATTATGAAATGTATTTATAAACTTTTGTTTTTCAAAATCAGTTATATTGGAATGTGGAAATTACAGCCTTTCTGCGCCTTTTGAAAAACTTCAGACTCTTTTATCTTCCCTTTACAATTGATTTGGGACACAATTATCAAAAAGCAAATAGGTTCCCCCTTTCTGTCAAGATCTATAATTGACGGTTCCTGGTGCTACCAGAAATCGGATTATTGGGGAGTAGGCTGAAATCTTGGAGAAGATTCATTATTCGATCTATGATGAACTTAAATTACGAGAACTCTACCTACCATATTTATGTTAAATAAACCTAACGTGCCAATCAAACTTGTACTGTCTATGATAAACTCACTCTTTGGTGAGCAATATACTTAAAGCCATTTGTCTAAAAGTTGGCAGTTCACCATTTTAAAGATAGCTTTAAATTTATTCGAAAACCGTATGATCTAAACACTTCTTTAATGTGTCCTCGTGATTCTAATGAGTTAGGCTTAAAAGAAATTTCAGAGATTGTGTTTCAGCATTCTGGTGTTCTTTCTTTACCTCAAGAACAATTTTGACATCTTTTACACATGTAAACTTAGTGTATACAGCTTAACTTCAACAGGTACGTGTATCGCATGCCATTGACTCGACAACACTCTACAGTATGTGTGTTGATGACACATTCACGGTTTGCAGTGGCCTAGAGTGTACCTCTTGTTTTTTAATAGTCCACTCAAAAAGCGCTTCAGAAACAATTTACAATGTAATATGAGCATAATAGTAATAATGATTTTCATTTCTTCTACATTGAATGAACTCTAGATATTAATATACAATGATTCGCTGCGTCATAAATTATTTTTAAAGGATTGTTTTCTAATTTTCAACAGTTTTGATGATGTTACGTCCTCTGAGCCAGATGGTTTAATCTTGAACCTTTCACTATCATTCTAGGCGATATCATCAGTACAAACTACAGAAAGAAGTGAGTTATAGGGTTTTCTTCACAAGTTGTTTAGTAGTTTGTCCTGATGGCCTTGTGTATGGCTGGTTGTTTTGCCGGAGTCTTGTCATTGTCCCCATATTTATTTCGATTGATTGTTCTGCTGACGTGAGTTTTGACCTTCTTGTTGTTTCTTAATTATTGGTAGTATGGGTCAATTTCAATATGCTTGTTAATTGCTGACTGACCTAAATATCAGGCTTCTAGAAATTTTCTGGCATTTTTTATATTTCCTCTATCCAGGATTATTTTCCCAGTTAAGTTCATGTCCACAACTGTCTGTATACATTAATATGAGCAGGGAAGCTTTATAACATTCACCCACATATTGTTTACCTTTTGCTGAAAAAATACTCCCAGAATCTTAGCCTACAATGGGGTATTTATTATTATCAGTTCGTATTATTCTAACCATTCAATTTTAATCACTCCAATTATATAGTGTCGATGTTTGTTATTTTTTATCAAATAGTTTTGTATATTTTGATATCAAAGTCGTTTCCGGTTGTAAGCTGCTGATGAAAAACTTTGTAATAAAATGAATTCATGCTATTCTGCTAAAACCATTGTTTTGTCTTTGTTCAGATTTGTAAAGGAAAGGAACTGTAGGAAGCTACGTTGTACAATCATAATGGCGATTCAGATTGGCGTTTGCATCTTTAGCCTTATATATGTGGCTAGATGTTTCATCAGTCGCAATTCTATCAGATGTCACCTAACTATCCAGATAAATTAACTTCTTACGCCTTCCAATGGTTCACTTTCAGGGGTGAGCGCATGTACAAGTGTCTTTCAATCTTGCGAAAGTAACTTTGTGGTCCAAAACGTATGGGATAATAACGGACTATAATTGATGAGAGATTACTTGTGACTGAGCAACCTTTATTTTTTGTTGCACAGTAAGATGATATCGTTTGCATATTCAAGGGCTAGAAGTTCTTGTGTTAACAGATTGAAACCATCTTCGCTCATATTCTTCAGAACTCACTGAAGAATTTTTTCACGGCAAAGTTAAAGATGAATGAAGAAATCAAATAGCACTGCCTAGATCAACTGTTCGTTTGTATGGGTTTGGAAAATATATTTGCTCACTGTGACTTCATCTGAAATATTTCTGTATGGGACATTCATGAGTCTCATGAGATACCTTTATCTGAGACACAATTGCAGATAACAGGTTTGTCAAAAAGTTTAGAAGCAGCACTAATATCAGTGAAAGCGAAGATATTTGGTCTGCAATGTAGGTGGCAGTGTTCGCGCATCTGGCATGAGCACGTCACCAATGGATCTATGGCTCGAACGAAACCTGGCTAGCTGTAAAAGAATAAATTTTTAAAGCGTTTTGCGAAGTTACTGAAGTCTGATAGTAGTCAACCAATATTTCGGATGCATTTAGCAGCGTAGTGATACACCACTGATTGTCACACAGGTTACTTTGGTTTTTTCTAAAGACGATGACGATAATTTCATTTCAGAGTAAAATAACACCCTGAGTTTCCTGTACTTGAATCATGCGAATCGAACAATTTCTTCACTAAGATTACCCCTGTATCTTAAGAAGAAGTTATGAGTCGACGGTCTGCATTGAGTACTTAATTTCGCCGTAGTAATGTGAATCGCTGCTTTATTAGGTTAGTCAGAGCTGACGCTATGAACAGATTGAAGTTATTAGTGTACTGAGCCAGCTAAATTGCTTTGCATAGCTCCCTATCCAACGTTATAGACCACTTTGAAGTTTGTTGACCAGTGCATCATCTACATCAATCACAGTTTTATGTAAACCGGA